AAGGCAATATATTGAATTGAAAACAGAAACTGTGATCAACTAGTATATACATTATGGAGTTCAGTGTAAAATCTGGGGACAACCCCAAAAGTAACTTCCATGTTTTTTACAGTCAGTTTTAGTCATACATCATTTACAAGGGATGAAATATATCTCAAATCATATAAATTTGCAATACTCCGTGATTGATATTCATTTCTATGCTTTGCGATGAATTATCATGCAGATTAAGGCCATAGGTACTCATAAGAAGCTATTATATCTTGATATCTGCATGGTACCTAAACTTGAGCACAGATATCACTTGGAGAATCTTTAAAATTAACTTATCTTCACATAGGGAAATGACAGTGACTTTGTGTCACTACTGAAAACACCAACTGAGCATTGTAATGATCAAGTCTTTGGGATAGACCGAATCCATTATGGATGGTTAAAGATTGTATTTTCTTTCATGATAGAAGTTATTGAGTACATTTACATAGAGAACCTGCGGTAACTAAACGATACGAAAAATGGTGGATCAAGGTCTCCCTATCTATTGGTTCTAAGAAAAACACATGAATGCAAAATAAAACTACGTCTTGTTATACTGCTCTTTCATTTCAGTGAATTAAAATCAAGTCTGATGACAGGACAAGACAAGAGCCTACGGATTTTTTCTGTAGGCTGTATTTTTTTATGACTACAGATTGTTTGATGCAAATGAAAATCATTTAAAGCAATATTGAAATACTTCCCATGTTTAAATAAATCAAACATAATTATTGCTGAAAACATCCTGGTATGACGTGGCAGAACGAACGTCAACGCGGCAGAAATTTCATCCGATGTCACTTCAGCTGAGTCTTCCAGCTTGGCATCACCAAAGGCAGAGCCACAGTCCCATAGAATGACTAAATCTTCAGCCCTGCAACACGCTTCCTATGAATAGTTGTATACATTTTAGATAAATCAACTTTACAGGTTCTCTGTCACATTTTCTTAAGTTATACAACTAATACATTTTCTATAAAGAGATGTGGGTGCATTTGATATTAATGAATGTTTTTACATAATTGGCTTAATAGGTGTAATAAACAAAAAATTAACACGGGGAATCCTGCTTCTACGGAAAACCAGCCAGCCCTGTTAGCAACGTCGACGTAGCACGAAATTTGAATCATGGCGGTCGCCCCCCCCCCCCCCCGCGTACGGTTTGTGCACTCGTGATAATGATGAAAATTTTGGATGACCCCTTACTGGTCATGAAGGGTATACACAGGATCGCCGACGGGGGTGGGGAGGGGGGTGAGGTAGCCGGGGTAACGACCCGGGGCCCGTTAAAATTAAACAACTCAGAAAATTTATAGAGAGTATTTATACTGAAACAACGTTACAGCAGTTAACGTTAAAATTAAAAAATAAGAAAGTGGTTCAAAAAATGTCCTCAATCTTCAGCCTAACTAGCGATATTTTTAGTTATATGACATTAGTAACATATTGATTGCAAGTTCGTGATTGTAAGCTCGAGTAACATACAGTTTATATCAACATAAATGTTTAAGGGAAAATGGGCGCTTCCTATTTGAAAAAGACGTCTCCCATCGGGTATATAGAAACGTCACAGGCGCATTCTGGCCCGGGTGGCAAAGTGGCGATTGCCACCCGGGCCCTCTCATATGGAAGGTAAAGAACTTTTGATTCAATAAAGTTCAAAACGTGCAGAGTGCAAGCATAGGTTCCCTTCGGCATATCTTTCAATCAGTGAAAAAAAAAAAATAATATATAATATATATATATATATATATATATATATATTATATATATATATATATATATACATACACACACACACACACACCACACACACACACACACACACACACATTGAAGTGTTTCCATACATCTTAATGTTCCATTGTGGTACACTTAAAGTCACTGTGGGCCATCAGTTGTCAGCTGATGATTTTCAAGTTCTGCTGCGGGTTGTAGAGGGGCAAACCGTTGGCCAAAGACTGCTAAAAACATTTTTTTCTGGAATTGTAGTTGCTGAGCAAATTGTTGCTGCATCATGAGTATCATTTTTTCTATATTCTGTATCAACATTTGTAGTAGGTCATGTCTTTCCTGTGGTGTAGGGTCGGCGCTGGCACTGAAGCAGGTGCAGAAGCCTTAACTGCTGTATGTGCTAAAACATGTGTTGTAGATGTCGAAAGCGATGGCGATGTCAAAGCAGATTCTGAAGTCGATGCCGAGGGAGCTGAAACTGACACTGAAGGGGCTGAAACAGACTAAAAGCTGGCGCTGGAGCAGGAGCTGTTGCCAATAATAGTAAGGCTGGAGACACCGACTGTTTTCGTTCAGCATACCTCGTCACATTTTTCTCCCAAGGCGAGGATGGGGTTGCGAGAGGGCAGAACAGCCTGTTGCTTCTTTAGCAATTTGTTTTTTTTTCTATAGTTTGGATAATATGCATATAATAGAGAGTTTGCATTATGTCGAAGTCTGCAATTGACAC